AAAAAAAAAAAAAAAAAAATCAAGGAGAAAATTCATACTTTCATTTCTAATAAACAGCCTGACCTCATAAGGCCACTTTGTTAAATTTTCTCCACCAGCTTCTCAGAAGGTTGCCATTTCAATCATAACGCACTAATGTCTCTCCATAGCTAAATAAACATCTGCACAAAACACAGCTGTGTCCAGAATGCCCACAGCCTAATATTTAAAGAGTCTACTTCCTGATTCAAAAATAATAGTTGCATTTCCAGGGTGATAATTTAGTCAGAGAGGCAGTATTTCACTTATACATTCAGCAAATAAGTACACAGATACAGGGCTGTACAAGGCCCTGTGTGATTATGTATACTAATATTCCCCTTTCCTTAGAGACATGTACAATCTGATATGATAGTCAAGGTTTTCCTCACCATAAGCCATCCTCCATAGAAAAACCCAGATATTACTCATCCTTCAGGGGCTTTACAGTCTCTCTCATTCAATACCTCCCTGAAGTGGAGCTGAAGAGATGGATTGCACCACTTCTGTCCCTCTCCCCTTTCTTCTCTCTCCTTCGGCATTTGTCCACCTCTTTGGCTGCTTATTTCCACCTCTTTCCCTTGCTCCTCTCATCCTGGTCATGCCTATGAAATACAGGCCTTGATATTTTCTCTTTCTCCCCAGAAATCACATCATTCTCAAGGCTTTATCATCTCTTTGTGGAAAATTCCCAAATTTAAGGACTTCAAATTTATGTGATATCCAACACTGACGTGCACATCCCTTAAATTCCTTAATTCCAACCTGCAACATGGAATGCCTGATCTCCCCACTAAAGCCAATTCTTCTGCCCTATTTCTTATTTCAGTCAATGGCCCCAGCAGGTTCACCATGACCCAGGCTGTCTTAAAGACTTCTTTGACCCCTCTTTTTCCTCAGCACCCCACCAACCCACCCACCTGATCTGTTCCCAAGTCACATGGATGCAGAGCCCTTCTTTCCACCACCATTGCCACCAGTCCTAATCTAGACACTTATTTCTCCCCACTGAACATTTCGGAATTTTTCTAAGTGGGCTCTACCTCCTCTCTAATCCATCTTAAGTGATGGTAGCATCATATTAATTTTTTTAGAGAGGATATATGTACTCTGGAACCAGAGGGCTTGGTTTTAAACTCCAGGTCTGCTACTTCTTACTTCTGTGACCTTGGGCAAGTTACCTAACCTCTCTGTACCTTACTCTCATCGTTTGTACACTAAGGATGGTAATAGTAGCTGCCTCAAAACTGTTGTGAACATAAAATAAATTAATAGTTCTGGGGCACCTAGAACAGCATCTGGCATGCATTTAAATGCTCAATAAATGTTTGCCATTATTTGCAGCTAGCATAGGTCCAGTCATATCCTGGACTGCCCCCAGATCCTCAAGAAAGTCCCATGGCATACCATGCTGCATTCAATCTGCCCAGCTGACCTTTCAGCTTCATATCACACAGCCCCACTTGAACCTGTACACACACCAGGCAAATCAGAGGTCTTACTATTCCCTGAACACACGCCAGAGCCTCCCTCCTCATGCTCACTGTTCCCACTTCTGGGATCTCTCATCTCATATCTCTGTCCATCCTTCAAGCCAGTCTTAACTCCTTCATGAAGACTTTGCTGAACCCCTCAACCAGAAGTGCTCCCCAATGCCCATGAATTCCCCCCAGCACAGGGGTTATGTTACTCTATGGCAGTTATCTTTTCTCTCCGTCTCACTGCAGTCCTGTCTTTCTCCCTGCAGGTTTGGAGCTCCTTGAAGGTAACATATGCATCCATCATCCGTGTATTCACTACATCCTCTAGCCCTGTGAAATATGTTGAGGTGACAAAAAAACGGAGGTGTGGGTGATCAGAACCATAGCCACTACTGTGGCATAGTAGTTAGGCACATCAAATAAAAAGAAATACACACTCTGCCCAGACTGGAGTCCTCATCATAGTTTTGAATGACATCAAAACTCACAATATAAATTGGATGGTCTCTCCAGCAAGTCTTTCTTTACAGGACACCAGAAATACAGGAGAATCAATATAAGAAGAATGTGGTTTGTAGCCCTATCCGAAAATACTAACATTAAAATCACACAAAAAATTTTCCTCGTATATTAATATTAGAATCAAAAAACCACTGAGTACTGACTGTGTTTAGTTGACTAAATGTAATTTTCTGCTAGATCTACCATCTAGCAATCCCAAGAGAAGCAACTCTCAAGGCCTGGAGCTTGTTCAGTGACATATGAACTTCTGGCACATCACTGAAGAATTAAACGTAACGGCATATACACAGTCCCTACCCTCGGACTCATGAGAGGTCCCCAAACCCTACACCCAGAAAAAGAGGGCGACAACAATGCACATTCCCAACAACAGAATGAACACTCCATAAACACTGCTGGCAGTGACATCATCCAGGTACCAGAGGTCAGAGAGCAGGCAGTGCAGTACTCCATGCTATCTAGGAGCATAGCTGTAATCTGACACCAGGGATTTAGACCTCTTTGCCCAGCAACTCTGGGCATTCATGAGCAGCAGCAAAGGGCTCTTTCATTCCCACTTTCACTTCAGCCATTCAAGGAGCATCCTGCTCCCAGCACCACTGACAGAAATGTCCCAAAGACATCAGTTTCAAGAATCCCTATGATTAAGTGAAATTAAAGAATGTTTTCCCTCAAATAAAAGATATGCTCTTGAAGTCCGAGAATACTCTCACTCTTCCAATACCTGGTGGTACCCACAAATCCTTTGGCAGAACTGCCAAAATCCCTCTTAACAGGACAAATCCTAGGAAGCTTACTAAGTAACTATGGTTCATTTAACTATGTTCATTTAATTGCACGTTTGGTTAAGAAAACAAGGAAGTAAAATTAAATGTTTGTTAGAATATGTTGGACAACTCTGAAACACTAGCTCTTTTAATAAAAGGACATAATTATGTCAACTCAGCCTTCTTATTCCTTATTATATGTTGCTTTTATTAAGTAGAGATTTATCTCTCTTTAATTAAGTTTTTACTATACTATACGATATCTTTTTCCTGTAGATCAATGGTCTTTCACAGAAAACAGTTCCCTACTTGTATCTTACACTCTCAAATCCTAATCCCGCAGAGGCAGAGTAAACAAAGAATGTAAATTAGCACTCCTATACCACTTCCTCAAAGGCAAAAATAATAATACTGTGAAGCTTGGGGCACCCAAATAAAATAACTCAATAATTTACCACACAGATAAACTCAATACACACACTGCCCTGTACTCTGTAGGTGCTCCAATAAATACTCCATGACTGATTCACAGGCCTACTACAGGATCTGGCAAGGACAGAGGGTGCGTCTCCCTGGTCCTGCGCTGGGGAGTGTTAGGAATCTACGGTTGCAGTTTATTGTGGTGGTAGGAAGAACTAATATAGATAGAGGTCTAAAAGAAATGACGTGACGATAGGTTCAAATTATGTTAACTTTCCCTGCACCTCTCCCCAAGCATCTGAGCCTAAAGAAATTGGATTTGTTGCTTGCACCACTGGGGGAAGGTGAATAAAACCGCCATAAAGGTGCACTGCATTTCCTCACCAAAGAGCCAACAAACTAAATGGTTGAGAAAAAAAAGAAAAAAAGAAAGAAAGAAAGAAACTTACTTTTCATAGACCAGCTCCTCATCGATGGAGAAATAGTGGGTATTTACTGTGCTTTTTGGTCTATTCCTTAAAGTAGCAAAATATAACCGATCTGAAAGACAAGTTTAAAAGACAGGAGAAAACATATGAGAAGTAGGGAAGCTGGGGGCAGGGGGGGTTGCTAATGCAACAAGATCAAAATAACAACAGCCACCCATTATTTAAAGACCCCATTAACACATGGAATTCTTGCAGAGCCCTGATCTCTCCCACAAAGCGACAGAGATCCAAGAGCATACCAGTTAGAGAAGCGAGAAGAGGGCCCGACTGAGGAACTCAGCGGTGGGCAGAGCTCCCATATCCCCCTTGTTCAGGCCAGCGGGAGCAGGTAGAAGCTGAGGGTACCCGTAGCACTGGAGATGCAAGTTTGGTTCAGAAATGTCCAGACCTCAGCAGCTGCGGAAGGGGAAGGGAGAGGCCAGAGGCGAGCCTCTCCCCTGCAGCTCCGGAGACTTCAAGAAGAGGAAGGGAGGAGAGACGGGGTTTGTGTCTGGAGATGTCCCGAAAACCGAGTCCAGCAGTAGAAGGATAAAGGCAACCGAAAGGATCCGCACAAGCCGCTGCATGCAGGAGCCCGGGAGAGGCCGGCGCCGTCCCATTATCGGGCGGGGAGGCCTTCCGAGCGTGCTGCAGAGGGAACGAGGGACGCAAGAAAGACAGAGAAGCCGGAAGCAGGGGGTCCTCGGGGAGAGGATAGCACCGAGAGGGGACGAGAGCCCGCGCAGCGACCGCAATACGCTGGGGGCCCAGGAAGAAGCCGGAGACAGTGGTTGGGACGTTGGGGCGAGAAGTGAAAAGAGTTGGGGGCGACGGAGGGTTGGAGGATGCGGGGCGGCTGCTCCTCACCTTTCATGAACTCGCAAGCCCCGATTAGTTCCCCTGACTCCGCTGCCATCTTAAGCGAGATACGCACGGGGGAGGGCTGGGTCCTGGCCAGCTGAGGTCACCCGCCCCCGGGGGCTTCCCCACTGCCCAGGAGCCGGGAAGCTTGCTGTCACGAACACCGAGCCCGCCCGAAAGAGGCAGCAGGCGCCGAGGGCGGAGGCGGCTGGGGGGTCAGCGCGCAGGGCGCCCCGGGGACATTCCGTGGGGAACCCGAGCACCCTCCGAGCGGGGCGCACACGCCCCGGTCTGTGGCCACTCCGCTTCGGACCCGGCTGCTGCCGCTGCTCCGCCGCCGCCGCGCCTGGGAAACGCAGACCAGCTCTCACGGCCGGGCAAAGTCTTCCCCCGGCTCCCAAAGGGATCATGGAGGAGGAGACTTCTGGCCCCGCTCGCGCCCGTGGCTACTCATGCGGCAGCGGGCAGGACCCTGGTGCCCGCCGGCTGGCAGCAGCTGCTCCCGCTCCTCCTTCGCCACCTTCTTTCAGCAGCAACTCTTCCTCCTCCTCCTGCCCCTGGGTCCGCCCCCAGACCTTCTTCCCCGCCCTCCCTCAGCCCCCTCCACTTTCAAGGCTCCGCGGCCATCCCTTAAAGGGACAGCGCCGCTCCTTTCTCCGCGCCTGCACCGCGCCCCAGTTACCAAGCGCCCCGCGGATCACTAAGAGCCGGTTGCTAAGGCTTTGTTGCCGTCCACCAATTGCTGTACGGGAAACGCGGTCCTGGGCCATGAGGAGCCGGGCGGGGCCTCCAGACCAGAAAGTTATGAATGAAACGGTGGAGTTGGGAGTGGTCCCGGAGGGTGCTGAAGCGGCTTCGCAGGCAAGAATGAGCCCGCGCCCCTCCGTTTTCTGCACCCACTTAGTCTTCTTCCTATTCCAGATTTTTCGTCTGTCTCTCTCATTCTCTACCTCTCTCTCCCCACTCACCCTTGTTCTTCTAAACTCTTGCATGCGCGCGTGGACACACACACACACACACACACACACCCTTAAAGATCTCAGAACTCCGTGCCCCACCTTACCTATAGCTAATCTTTCAACCAACCCCCATCCTCACCACTGACAGACCTCTATCTTTACTAAAAAAAGAAGCCCTACCTCGTAGCTCAGAAGAACACCTACTGGTTTCCTCTACACATATTGGACTCTGAATTAACTTGTGCTTTGTTCTCACTGGGTAAAAGGTTCCCATCCGGTTCCCCACGTCCTCTCATTTGGGTCGCCGCTGTGGGCGCAAAATCATCACAAATACCTAACCTTTATGTGGCTCTGGTTCTGGAGGGGGGCGGGGCGGAGGAGCGAGGCCAGCCGCGGGGGAGGGGAGGGAATAGGGGAGAGGGAAGAGGGCCACTTGTCCACAGGGAAAATTATCACAAAAGAATATCTTTACACAGTCTTAGCTGAAGCGCTGCAGAGAGTGGTTCATCTCAAAGAAGCCCTTGACTTGTTTCTGTGAGGCTTCTCGTACAGCTCGAACAACTTTAAAGCAGGGTGTCCTACCGGTGTGCCTAATTTGAGAGCAGTCCCTTCCATGTGAAAATGGCGCTACAGACCCATCACCGGAAGAGCATGCGCTCTGAGTGGTTTCTCCAGAAACAGACAGGGATTTGTGCCAGCCTTCGGTTTCGCAGTCGTTTGTTTACCTCTTGGAGAAAGGGGGCGCGCAAGAGAAAGAGTCCACTGACTTTGAAGGACCGCTCTGAGGTCAGCAAGTAAAGCTCAATCTCTTGGTCTCAACCCGTTAGCTTTACTGGCTCTCCAAAAAGCTAAAGAGCCCACAGAAAAATGATAAATGAATATTACTTAGATATTCAGAAAAAATATTCTGAACATATCAGTAATTCTAATAGAACATGCCCTTGCAAGACAGTTAAAAGAAAACCTATCCTAACATTCCAAATCTTTAAACTCTGAGGTAAGAACCGTATAAATTTAAAGCTGGAAGAATCACTAAAGACGACCTCCTACCATCCCCTAATCTTCCCACGAGGAAAGACTATCTCAAAAGAGTTTTTAAAACCGTAAAAGTCCTGAAAATATGAGTTGTCATGAGTGTTCCACTCTGCTGAGATGCAGTCCATGTTTTCCAGGCCCCTGGCCATGGCTATGGAATTCTAAAGAATGAAGTATCTCTAAATGTATTGTCCACACTCAACAATTCTTCGAATTTTGCCTGATATTTACTCCCACAAATCGTGTGTCAACAATCATGTTAGCCAATTCATATTATTTTGTTGAAAAGTTCCAACTGAGACTTTATATGTGACAGTTATGGAAAAGCAAAGTGTATGAATGTCTCAGTAAACTTACCCACTTTGTTTAAAAAAGCTAATTCAATGATGGCAATCTATTTCCAAATTTTATGATGTGAAATTCGTGTAGAACCTAAATTCTCTTAACAAATTTCCTAACAACTTTTCATCCAAGTGTTGTATTAGAAAAACTGCTTTAGAAAAAGAAGCCCAGGTTCTCATTCAACGCATAAACTTTTAATTTTACTAAGTAAATAGACTAATGAAAAGAACTCTAAATCTACATGTTCAGAGAAGTCAGATTGAATTAAACACCTCTTGTTATTTTCTGAAATGAATTTACAAAAACATTCTCTTTCATATAATTCTCCTGCTTAGAAATTTTGGTCATGAGGAATGAATTATGACCTGAACAAATAGAAGTCCTTAAAATTAAGAACTCAAAATGAAAAAGTTTATTTTTCCTTAGCATATTTACAGTATGAGTATTACAATAAAATTTTTGAAGTTGTTAAGACTTTATAATGTTTTTTTTGAAGCTCAATGAAAGGAAAATAAGTGATTGTCAGTATAATCAAATCTCTCTAAACCAAAGTCTGCACAACCTAAATGGTATAAAAAAATCCTACAAGAAAAATTATGAACAAGATAGTGCTCATACAGCACACATACATGTCAAGGTTCTAATGAGATCATAAAATACTATATTCTCTCAATTATCATGAGGTCAGAGTTCTTATTGGTTGTAGTTTCATAATAAAGGCATGACTTCACAGTCTATGGAGGAAGATATGGAAAAAACTTTCCAATCACTCAGAATAAATGTTAGGAAGACTTTATCTTAAACAACAATAAAGAATGGTGTTGCACACATAAAGAAAATACTAGGAGAATAAAGATTTCACTCAACTGCAGAAAGGGAAGGTAATGTTATACAGAGAAATTTAGTTAAGTATAGGGCTTCCCTGGTGGCGCAGGGGTTAAGAGTTCGCCTGCCAACGCAGGGGACACGGGTTGGAGCCCTGGTCCGGGAAGATTCCACATGCCGCGGAGCAACTAAGCCCATGAGCCACAACTACTGAGCCTGCGCTCTAGAGCCTGCGAGCCACGACTACTGAAGCCTCCTCACCTAGAGCCCGTGCTCCGCAGCAAGAGAAGATACCGCAATGAGAATCCTGCACACCGCAACGAAGAGTAACCCCCACTCACTGCAACTAGAGAAAGCCCGTGCGCAGCAACGAAGACCCAACGGAGCCTAAATTAAATAAATAATTTTTTTAAAAAAAAAGAAATTTAGTAAGTATAGAAGTGTCTCAAGTTTGAAAATGACAACATTTATTCTAACTCTGCAAACGTAGCTTGAATCCTGCCTCCAGTGCCCTGAGGGTAGTCTCCAGCCTATGCTCATGCACCTGGAGAGCTAGAAAACTCACTGCTAGAGGCAGCTCTAAAATATGTTGTCACCCTCTGGTTCTAATTCTGCTCCTTAAGGCTGTGCTGAACTCCCTTAGTTACTCTTGCATATGACAACTCTTCAAAAATACAAAGGCAGCTCCCTTGGGCCACTTCTTCCCCTTTGGTATTTCCCAGATTAAAATCTCCATTTTCTTCAACCTTTTCTTAAATTACATGGCTTCAAGCCCTGCTGTCCAGTCACTCTCTTTTCCAATTTGTCTGCATCCCTCATAAAGTGTGTCCCAGAACTGAATGCAGGCCTGTGGTGACCTGGTGTGACTAGTTCTGAGATCAGAAAAAAAAAGCACTGATGAAAATTCAGATGGGAACAAAAACACTGAAAAACATAAAAGAACTAAGTTTTATTATTTAGTTGCAAAAAAGGAAATATTCTCTCGTTGGAAGAGGGGGAAAAAGTTGCTCAGGATAGTCAAAGGCCTGACAGCTGTGATATTTACATATTCTATTCTTTTAAAATTATCTTCATTTCTCAGAATATCTGATTTTAACATGCTCTTTTAGTTGTTTGTTCAGTCATGATTATGTTATCTAAGCAAATAAAAGGGAATATATAATACATACTTTGAATTCTTTCTAAAAATCAATTTTCAGTTTAACTATGAACCAAGGGACAGTAGAAACCTACACTGCTGAGTAATATGAAATTCAAAGTAATCAAAGTAATTAGATAAATTGCTTATATAATGCCAAAAATAATTTAAAGCAGCTTTTAGTAAAATATATATGCCAAAAAAGTCATTACAAGCCTGTCCCAATCTGATGAGAATGTATACAAAAGTGAATAATGGCAGAAAACAATTGAGGTTTATTATTATAGAATATTATTATATATTATATTATATATTAATATATATTATATTGTATATTATTATTATAGAGTATTATTATTATTATGGAGTATTATAATAGTATTTTTTTAATGATCATTCTTTAGTTTTCTTTTACAATTAAAGATACAGGGCTTCCCTGCTGGCGCAGTGGTTGGGGGGTCCGCCTGCCTATGCAGGGGGCGCGGGTTCGTGCCCTGGTCCGGGAGGATCCCGCATGCCGCGGAGCGGCTGGGCCCGTGGGCCATGGCCGCTGGGCCTGCGCGTCCGGAGCCTGTGCTCTGCAATGGGAGAGGCCGCAGCAGTGGGAGGCCCGCGTACCGCAAAAAAAAAAAAAAAAAAGATTCAAATCCAGAATGAGAATTCTGCCCTTATTTTTCAGCTCATCTACTCTGCACTCATCCTGTTTGTAAAAACAACCTTCCCAGGCCATTATTGTTCTCCCCTGTTCCTGTCAGTATCTGATTCAGGAAGCTTCCTTGAAAAATGGGGAAGAATGGGGTTTTCGACTTTATTATCATCACTGCCAAATATGTTACACATGGATTGTTGAAAATCTGAGTGCAATAAAAGGAATAGTAACCCCCCCCGCAAAAAAAAGTCATTACAGTACAAAAAGAATACCAAAAATTTGTAGACAACATGACTGCCCACAGATGCTAAGATCTTGGCCTGACCCAGCCATATTCTGCATCACATTAATTCTGTTTAAGGATTTCAAGCCAGAATCAAAGACAGTAAAAACCAGAAGGGACCTGGAAGATCAGCTAGGTCCAGTTTTCACAAAGACTCCATGGAGTCTAAAATAGCAAGAGACCCCACATGGGGTTGGGGGTGGAGAGGGAAAGATGAGCAGGCAGGGCTTTTACA